CTCTGGGCGGTTCCTATAGCGGATGGAATGGAAAAGATATGAGGATATGGCTGGTAAGTTTGAAACCCCCAAGAAGGGCTTTCGAATTTTAGGCTACTTAACAATGGGCTTGAAACGTTGGTTTCTTTCGCTGAGGGAATAATTCAAACGACAACATCGTAATACTTGAATCCAGTTAATGGATAGTGGTGTTATAACTGTTAATACCCTTAACACTTGTATTGATATCAGTTCTACGTTATTTTGCAATTAAAATGTTCCTACATCATCCCACAACGACTTTTGGCCATCCTTGGAAATTGTAAAATTAATACAAGTGCAACAGTACTTATAGTTTCCTCCGAACGTATTGTATTGGCTGGCTTCCTTCCAATGAAATCGCTTCCTGCATCCTTTCTTGAGCCATGAGAGAACAAACGCGCAAATAAACATAACCACAATTCCAACTTACCTATAAAAACAAAACACATTACAGTACGATCGTTATTACGAAATCGCTTATGTAATCAGAGTTATTTCCTTCTTCCTCTTATAACTGTGTATATTTCATTTGCTCACCTCCATCATGTATAGTCGGCGCAGTGACCGGTGGAGAAGCTGCCGGACGGGCCTAGTCCGTGTACTTGACGTGGCACGGTCAGTGTATTTCTTTTGTTTGGGCGCTCAGTCCGATAAGCTCCTCGGTGCAGTCAGCATAAAGGTCTATTTATATAGGAACGTAAAGATAACGACACGAGCCCTTGACGATTTTTCAGAAAATATTATTCAACGTTTTTCAATGGAACTGTTTAGGAAAAATATCGTTGGAGACGTAAGTTGGGCGAGACTCGTTCGTGGAACGGACGAGCTCGGAGTCAATATAAACAGTTCAATTGAAAAACGTTGAATAATATTTTCTGAAAAATCGTCAAGGGCTCGTGTCGTTACCTTTACGTTCCTATATAAATAGATCCTTATACTATCGCAAAAGAGACTCGCTCCTAGCCTTCCCCTTGAAAATTCCACTGGCCAAAAATTACTGCGCCGACTATACCGAGGTTATAGTCATGGTACGGTGTTTAATTAAGTACAAAGACAAGTTTCACCTTTGATGTAGATGGGAGGATAATATTAAATGAGTCTTCCGGAAGTAGGGTCGCTGGATGTGGCCAATGAAGGGTTCATGTGAACATGGCAGTGAATCTAAAAGTTCCATAAAAGACGGAAAATTTCTTTATTAGCTGAGAGTACTGTTTGCTTCTAACCAAGGACCCTGCTTGTTTAATACCTGTCAAAACCTCTGAATTTATTTATTTATTTTACTCTTACGATTGCAACACTTTATCTTCAGAGTCAGTTCCACCGGAAGTTTATTCACCAAGCAGTTCGGATACGGTACAATCGCGGATGTGATTTGACATGGCTTATTTCCAAAAAGTGGTACTTGTACATATTAATAGAGATGCGGTTTGTTTCTGTTGAATAAATTTTTTTAGAAGAATATTTTTATATCAGGCGGAATTTTTTCAGAAACCCAAATTCAGAACTGACTGTACTGTTTTTAAAAAAAATATAAAGGTCGTACTATTTAATAACATTTTGAGTATTACCGTAGGTAGAAGTTCCTTTTCTGGGTCTTCTTATGACCCGCAAGCTGTAGGAAAAATAACATAATAGACCGTAGTACGCCTGGACTTAGAGCCACCGTTAGGTTTCGACAGGTAGGCGCCATAAGATAATGTTGGATGAGGGGTTCTTTACAAACGCAAGAAAGATAGATAATTCCGTTTCCTCCTTTGAAAGGCCTTGAAGTCTGTTAGAAGTTTACTAACGTTTCAAATTTCTTCCTGCCTCCATTATCAGGGCGATGACTCATCGCCAGTCTACACGGCGCTACAACCCGGAATAAATCTTACTGCCTTGGTGGTCCTTTAACCAATACTTAGTTCACATTACTACAATGAGGACAATTATCTGTTATTAAGACTTTGGGAGTCGATAGTACCGTTAGTGAAAAAAACTATTTTCCTTTTCGGTATAATTTACACCTCAAGAAATACAAGCTAAAAAAGACACACTGAGAGTAACGCTTATCGAGTGTCTTCAAACCTCTGTCAGGTCCGTGGAATTAAATTCAAAGTACAGTTCATGCATTCGTCTGGAGACTGAAAATCACACATGTATTCCAAAGACATTGAGGGGAATGAGTACAAGGCAGCGCGCGCATTCTTTGTAGACACACAGCAGCTGCAGGGGAAGAATGCATCGCCCCTATTTCAAGTTTGAAGGGACTCGCTTTAACTCCAAAACACGTCACAACCCAGAACCGACACATTCACGGCCTTTATAAAAGCAAGTCATGCGCACTAAACGGAAACTTGTAGGTAGACCAAGGGGAACTGGATTCTGGGAAATAATAATGTGAACTGGTTTGGGATACGATCCAGTACCGGATATTATGTCGTGGTCTAATTACGGACGCATAGAATAAAATAAGAAAAGTTAGATGGCCGGTCTATTAACCCAGATACAAACCCTCAAGATAACACAATTAGGACATACAGAGAGTAGATTGATAAGCGAACTTACAAATTTGATTCGACTCAACCCAGGTTTCTCTTAGTTTATCTCAGTTCTAGGTTGAAGCTAGTCTAGTATACCGACATATTTAACTAACGAACTATTCCTTCATAATTTGGTTCTTCAGTTACTATACATTTCAATTAGTATTTTTTTTTCCAGGTACTTACCTAAGAAAGTCTAAGGTCGGCTACTTCACCACTATTCAGGATGTCTGCAACATTTCGTGTTTTCTTTACGGTGGCAGTGGTGATGCACGTATGCGTTTAACCAACATCGTGACGCGAAGGGGAAACACGGCATATCTTGGATGCGACTGCCTTTTTCACCAAAAATGTAAATATGTAAGCCTCAAATGGATGGTCTGTGCATCAAACGTTTGGGGGCAGAATAATGAAAATAAAACCCTCATTTTCTGATTGATCAATTTCCAACCTTCTGTTACGTAGCGGTTCATGCACGTAGATTTAGCACCAATATTTCTCATTTTGTATAATCATACCAACAACAAATGTAAAAAAATTCCATTAGTTATCGTCACATGTGTAATGGCCGTCTTTAGTTGTAGTACCGTGTAGTCTGCCTCCATCATTAGCGACCTCTGAAATGTTGGTAATTTGTTACCAGAATAAACGTTCTACAACCCAGAAAATAAATCTTCACTGACCACCGCTAGAACCTCAGATCATACACTGGAGCCTTGCTCTTATCGATCGGCAACTGAAATATCGACCCAGTCCACGAAACCTACATTGCACTTCTTGGTAGATGGCACCCTCGACCGCCTGAACGCTCTATCTTATAAATCAGCGTGTTAGAGCCTGCATTACAGAATGGAAAATTTTCAAGCACTCTCAAGGTCGTCTTATCCATACGTCTGTCATGCACAAAATGATTATCATTGCCACATTCCACAACGTGGAACCAATGCCACCCTGCCCCCAAACCCCCAGAGAGATAAAAGGGTAAATTACATAACTTGCATAATTTACACTGTATTTATTTTTCAACTGTATTAAACGACGGAAAATATTAGAACACAAGGTTAATAAAAAAAAACTTCCATCCAGAATCTAGCACACATACTCTTCTCAGGAATGCACAGTTAATTAAACATTACTTCATTACTAGAATTTGCATATATGTAGACTGCAGCATATATATATATTTTTTGATTCAAAACAGCAACTTAATACACAATCTACAAGTATTTTTAAAAAGAAGAAAATCTAATGAAAACAGTAACTAATATTAAGACTAAAAGTTATACAGAGTATCATTACTGATGCCTGAAACAGAGGATTCTTCTTAACCATAATTAACCATGGTATTTGGCTGGGACATGCTCTATTTAATGTGAGGTTTGTATTTTGTTGGAATTTTACTTAACTAGGTAGTTCTTTGGCATACCACCACCTAAACAAAAAAAGTAACTATTTTATGGAATGATGGGCTGAAATATACAGCATTGTCACATGTGCCACAATTACTGCAGTCAGTGTTTTTATGATTTATATTACCAGCTGAAAATTAGGAAAGTCATGCATTTTATGCTGCAGGTAAATTGGCAAGGAAAATGTTTAGTACAGTTTAGAGTTGGCCACAATCCACAACTGTGATCTTCTTGCTCGTCTTGCCACTCTGGGAACCCAGACTCTCAAGCTGTAAAATAAAAATTAAATCACATAAGTCTACAGACTCGGCAAGGTTTAGATTTCATTTTATGGAAAATAATTAAACATACTTTCTTCACAACATCCATTCCCTCTACAACAGACCCAAACACAACATGCCGGTTGTCAAGCCAGCTTGTTTTTGCAGTGGTAACAAAGAACTGACTCCCATTAGTATTTGGTCCAGCATTGGCCATGGAGAGGATGCCTGGAAACAATTTTTTTTTTTTTTAGAAATCCATGTAACATGTACATATTGAAATGATTAATGTATGAACTATATATATGCATACCTGGTCCTGTGTGCTTTAACTGGAAATTTTCATCCTCAAACTTGCTACCATAGATTGATTTTCCTCCAGTGCCATTGTGGTTGGTGAAATCACCTCCCTGGCACATGAAGTTGGGAATAACACGATGGAATGTGCTACCCTTGTAACCAAAGCCTTTCTCGCCCGTACATAAGGCACGGAAATTTTCTGCCGTTTTTGGTACTACATCATTTCGAAGCTGAAAGTACAAGGGCGTCAAAATTAGAATTTATACAAGACACGTTATTATTTAACTTTCATATGAACATGTAATATCCCTTTAAAAATTTCACTTTATGAGTTTTACTTCATTCAGTATTCTTAATTACCAGCCTTATCAAGCACCATTTTGGAAAGCATTTACCGTTCACACTAACGCCAACCTCGTGGATGCAAAAAGCACAATCATCAATACTGTGATATGCTTATTTCGCAAAATTTGTAAAAATGTACAAATTAAGACCACAAAAGACGGATAATTCCAGCCATATGACAATGTAGACAAAAACCGGCACCCTCCGTCAGCCGTAAACTACAATCACAATGGACAGGCAATGCCATCATGCTATTTTAACTGTACCTATGAAAGTATAAATCCAAAACCTACTTACCTCCATCACAATTCTTCCTACACGCTGGCCATCAGCATTCATATCAAAATAAACTCTTGGTAAACACATTTTAGTAGATAGAGTACGAACACCAGCTACAAACAAACTCGCCTGCAAACCTCTGCCGATACCCACACCAAGCAAGGAAGACCAAGTACTCGACTGGCGGTAAACGCACAGCGCTGCGTGAGCCATTTTAGCTGCAAGTGATATGAAGTTTAATTTAATAAAAACTGTACCTCGTAGGAAACAAAGCAGTTAATTTAATTTACTGTATTATTTTAATAACGGTTTAAATATGACTTTTACAAATATATTTTTAAATATGTTATCTCAATTAATATGTGATATCTGAGAACTATTTTCTCTAGCGAAAGTGAAACGTAGTCCGTGTCATTACTGCTGTAGAACAAAATAAAACTTGATTTGAAAACATTAACATTTAAATATATTGTTACTTATATAATTTTAATAATTATATTTTAAGAATTGTTATATATATGTATTTATATATATATTACAGTTTTGAAAATCAATCTGACTTCATTCTGGAGTAGCCATGATTTTAACGCATGCTCAAATTGTTTTGGCTACCAATAAAGTCAATGCCATATTACTTAAATGCATAATAATTTAGCAGCAGGCATTATTATCTTCCAAAAAATATTTGGTTGATTATATAATTAATAATTCAAATGATATTTTTATTTTACGTGATTTAACATTTTTGCCGGTCTATGCTACGTAGTAAATGGCGTTACCAATTGTGAATACCAGCAATGTGTTGTGATATTTATGAACTGCCGTTTATAGGAAGTAATATTTGTTGTTAAGTATGTATAATTTTATTTTTGAAGTAAATGTTATTTATATTTTCGCGTATGACGATATTTCTTTTAGTTATACTAATGTTTAAAGACTATAGGTAGGTTGTAAATTGAAGCACATTTTTGTTGTTATTGTTTTTAACCTAGTTATCTATGCAACAGTGAGGTTTATGATTTGTATGAGTGCAATTAATATAATTTAGGATAGGCTTATAAAATGAATAATTTTTTATATTGCAGATCATTGGAGAGGTACAAAGCACCATGTCACAGTTTGGAGCGACTGCAAAAAATCCACCGTGGGTTAGGACGACAGGTAAGTTTGGTATTTAGTCGTCAAGGTAATAATATGTGTTAACTCTTTGAAGTGCAAAATACAACTTAATTTTAAAATTGATACATTTCTTTACAAGGTTATCAGATTTGGTAGGTGTACTGGACTGGCGTGGATTGCAGTCATCATTATGTGATAGTGGCTTTAAGTGAAAACCATTTTGTCTACAGCTCAAACGATGGCTACTGGTGTGACTCAGCAGCAACAGCAGCTCCAAACGCAGATGATGGGGCAGACCACTATGGTTGCCAACCCGACCATGGTTCAGTATCAGCAGCCACAAGTCTTCCAGACACCGATGGGAATGCAACAGGTTGCTAAATGTTGCAATATTGGCTTGGCTTGTAGGATAATTGTTGAAGTGAAAGCGCAGGTTCCGGATAGCAGTATGTGATACCTGTATTGCTGCCTCACCCAGTATATCTGTGCCTGCCTGGAACACCCACGGAGGTTGCAAGTGCAACATAGGTGACATTACCTTTGCAGTATCATAGTTAACGTTGTCCATCCCATTCCATTCTATTTCAGGCTGGAATGACCATGACGTCAATGACAGGTGCAATCGGTGCTACAAGTGTTGCAATGCCAACAGCACTTGGAGGGACTCAGGTAAGTTTGTCGGGTAGTTGTTGGTGTCAGATGCATGTTAAGTGTGCCACACTTTGTCATTCCCTAATTTGGTAATAATTTAATTGAATCAGTTTTGTAAATTGATTGTAGGTTGTCAGGAGTGAATGTATGTTACCTTTAAAATATGCAATTGGCATTAATCATTGTCTTTTTACAAAAGAGAAAGATTTTTATTGCTCTTTGCCAGATAAAAGAATTGCTTCCTTTTATCTTAAGATTGTGGTTGAAAGCAAAGGGAGTTGAATGTGTAAACCCCCTCTAAATATTACTCTGATTTTTAGGTAATAACACAAGAATACAGTTCATGAAAATGGAGCACTAATGTGTTATAAATTTATCTCTATAACTCACTTTCTGTATTCAGTTTGCAGTTGCAGTATTTCATGTTGACTTTTATAATTTACTTGTTCAACATGAGCAGTTCTAAAGTATAATTTTTGGGCATGGAAAGGAGACAGCTAAAATTCATACCATTAAACACACAAGTTAGTAATTTTTTTGCAAACAGGAAAATAAATTAAACATGACCTTATCTTGGTTATCAGTCAAGAATTAATAGGCCTGCGTGATGTTACCGGGTTGGCTTCACCTTGCCACTGTATGAATATTTTTATGAATCATGATGATGGCATATTAAGAAATTAGGCCATCGCTAATTTCTCCAATATCCCTTCTACTTCATCGTACATAGTCATCCTCTGTTATTTGACATAACATAACCTCTGCTGTTTGTACAACATAAATGAATCAGCCGCTGCCAAACAACGTTTCGTCATTCTCCATTGTCAGGTGTATCTATGAAACTTAACTGAACAGAAATTTTTTTATGCTGAAACATGGGCCCAAAATGAGATAAATAAAAGCAAAAGTTAGCTTTGAGAAGATTGTTTCATTAACACAATCACACGGTTCATATGGCTAATCTTTGGCTAATTCTGTCACTAATTCTCTGTTCTCAAATTTCTCAAGTAACTTGAGCTGTTGTTTTACTGTCTACAATTTTTTTTATTTTCAGCCATCATTCATAGGATTCACGAGTGTTAATTAACTGTAATTTTCACGTAACAAAGAACATTGTAATGGAATTGACTGTAAGACACTAGTGTTTGGAAAAGTCCAAATGCACATGTAGAATTCTCTCTTTCATCACCACCATGATCATTGGGACAAACTGTCTCACCCCACCTCCAATACTTCCAGTACTGTCATAAAGCAGCAAAAAAAGGTATTCAACCGTATCTTCTGTGAACCCAAAATCAGTTCACCACCAATGGTCATAGAAAGTTATCAGTAGCCTAGTTTACATGTGGAAGAAATTGAGTGTAGAGCGCCTAAAATGGAGGAAGTAAAGCAGGCCATTAACAAATTAAAAAATAATAGAGCCCCAGGACCAGATATCGTTAATGCCGAATTACTGAAAGAAGAAAACACAGTTTTATTTAAAAAAATTACTTATAATAATGGTAAAAACCTGAAGATAGAAGAAATACCCCAAGATTGGGAGGAGGATATTATATGCCGAATATTTAAGAAGAGAGGAACTAGAGTGTAGCAACTATCAGGGTATAACGCTGTTAAATACAGCATATAAATTATTTTGTAATTTGCTGTATGAACGACTTTAACCAAATGCTCAACAGATACTGGAAACCTATCAGTGCAGGTTTAGGGCTGGAAAGTCCAAGTCAGATCAGGTACACACATTGAGACAGATCTTGGAAAATACTCATGAGTACATTGTCAGAATGTACCATCTCTTCATTGAATTTGAGGCTGCTGATGACAGCATAGGTAGAGATAAGCTTTTCGAGGCAATGAAAGAATTTCAAATACCAAACAAACGTGTAAATGAGTAAAGCTACACCGAAAATGGTATGTTGCAGAGTTGAAGTAAACAATGAATTGTCTGAGGCCTTCAGATCAGGAATGGACTAAGATAGGGGGATGCACTGTCAGGTATGTTATTTAATGTTGCCCTTGAGAAAGCAGTACAAGCTTCAGGTATAGAAGAAATGAGGCACAGTATACCACAAATCAGTGCAAACACTTGTCTATGCCGATGATATTGATATTATCAGGAGAACATAGAGGGCAGTTAGAGAAAGACCTGCACGAGAGATGGGACTACAGGTAACTGAAGGAAAAACTAAATACATGGAAGTAACAACAAAGCAGAAGACATTTAAGGTGAACTATGAGTTTAAATACATGGGTACTGTAGTCATGAACAATAAATGCTAAAATGAATCTTTGGATAGGAATTGCAAACTGCTGCAATCATGGATTGAAGGACATGCTAAAATTGAGATACCTGAAAAGGGAAACATGGGCAGGCCCTATAACCCTTTATTGAAACGTGTACTTACATATCAGAGTGAGAGCTTGAGAATTATGGGCCAACAAGAGGGAAGGATGGCGAATGAAGTGCAGTTGTGAGCTATTTGACTTATATAAATCCCTATAAATAGTGAAGACTCTCAAAATGGGGGAGGCTCAAGTGACTAGGACACCTAACCAGAGCAAACGAAATATCTCCATGCAAGAAACTAAACTTTTCCAAGCGTGAAGGCACAAGGAGGGCTGGGAGACCCAGCTTAAGGTGGCTAGACAATGTAGAGAAAGATCTCAGAATCTTTGGTATACGAGGATGGAAAACAAAGATGCTGGACAGGAACCTATAGAGGAGGTCAAGACCCACACAGGGTTGTAGAGACAGCAAAGAGAGAGAGAGAGCAGAGTTCTTGCATTTTGAAGGTGACTGTCTTCCGGTATGTTGCTGCGTGTAGTCTGCTGCCTTCATCGTCAGGGTGATAAATCTCTCTGATGATGGAGGCAGCATGGACCTCTGAAACGTTGGTAAACTTCTATCATGCTCCATGGCACGATAACCCAGAAGACAGCCTTCTTCAGACTCACCAGCATGAGGACCTCAAATCCTACTCCTTACAGTCTGCTTTACGTAACCAAGAGAAAGTAATAATAACTATTTGCATCTTGGTGCCTGGACACCTGCTCAGCCCACCCTCCCCAAATGCTGGTCCTGTGTACAAGTGAACTTATCCAAGGTGATGGCCTCTGGTTACATGCTTTTTATATTGAATTTCTGTCAACAGAAAATGGTATAAAATGTTATTAGTGTATTTGGAAGGTGCCAGGTTTAAATCTTGGCCTGGAGGCTGGCTATCCTGACTTATATTCTCGTGGTTTTCCTGTCCCTCCAGGTAAATTCCAAGGTAGTACTTTAAATTAGGCTGCGGCTGCTTCCTTACAGATCCTTTCAAATTTGTTATCCACTGTTATCGTCTCATTCAATGCTGTATAGTCTGAGCTACAGAAAGAAAATGTAGCTAAACTATAAATAAGTAACACAGTTAATTTTAAAGTATAAATGTTTGCTTGTTTGCAGATGTTCCCGCAGGTGGCCACGGTGAGCTACCCAACACCGCGGGCACTCAACCCAGCAGCTTTCCAGACTGCTCCTACAGTTGCTGCAGTCCCTCCAGTACCCCCTGCAACCCCCAATCCTTCACCGAAACAGAGGGTCTTCACTGGCACCGTTACTAAAGTCCATGACAATTTTGGATTTGTTGATGAAGATGTTTTCTTTCAAACAAGGTGAGATTTAGTGGTTTGGGTACATAAATTGCATTGTAGTCATAACATGTTCTTGATGTTGATGAAAATGTTCGGTCTATGCTTGTCATTGAAGTCGCTGTTTGTGATCTCTATGGCTGCGTTTTACATTCTTCTCCACAACTTGCAGGCCCTATAAGTTAGAACTGAACTGTACGACTGTAGCTGTTAATGAAAGTATTATTTCTGTGTGTGTGTGTTAGTTATGTCCGATTGTACAAATATTTTTGTGTGTTTCGAAAGATATCGTGCGTTCATCAACAGCTACAATGGTTCTCGGCAAATAATGAAGAATCCACCTTATCTAATTTTGTCTAGTACAGATTGTATTAGATCTTCCTATTTTAATTTACCTTTTCCCTCAGCATGTGCAGAATGTAGGTTGAAAGTTGAGCAGCAAGTAGTCCCTTCAGAATTCATAAAAAAAAACAGTTTTGTCACCCATGCTTGAGAGAAGTAGCAATTGATATTGCCTAGCACTGTCTTGATATCAGCTATGGTCGGAGATGATCGGTCTATGGTCGTATTGCTTTTGGTAGTGGGGACTGTTTTTGCATTTTCTTTTTGTTCCCGTCCAGTATGGTTTCCTGCACGATGAGGTACAGTAAATCAAGGTCAAAGAGATGAAAATAATCAATAGGCTTAGTGGAAAACAAAATATCTTCTTGTGTGAGATTTTATATTTTTATGGCAGCAATAGTTTAGAGGTTGTCTTGTTTAAGATGAATCCACATTCCAGCTCATCTTCACATTCAGCCATAAGTGGTTTGTCTGAGATATTGTCAGTAAAAGCTGTCCCACTATAGACACTTGTGGGGAGACCTTGGTACTAAATGGGGTGAGTGGTCAACATCACCCCCCAGCCGTGCTTTACCCTTAGGAAAGGACCCCGGTACCCATTGGATAGGAGGCTGGGTGAGCACCATAGCCTGTCTGGATGCAGAGGCCAGAGGAAAAATTCTCTGCCCCCATCGAACCCTAGTCGTCCAGTTCGAAGTCAGTCACTATACTGAGTGAGCTACTGACTTTAACAATGAGTTACAAAATTACATGGTTTCATAATCCAGATGGCTACAATCTAATGATCCTTCTTTTATTCAGGATTTTCAGATATGAACTAGATTTTTCATTCTTTCTTAATTTCTCTGCTGGCTGTGAACCTGCCCTGAAAGATTCTATGCTGCAGAGATGGGAGACGTAAGACATTTTATTCTTATGCTGTAACCAAAACTCTGGGTGAAATTTGAATCATATTCAGTTGTGGCTTACAAAGCAGCAAGAAATTTCTGATTATTCCCTTCTCAAAATTTTCAGAATTTTACAAGCAGTTTTTAAACAAGACAGCAGTCACGTAATTTCTAAAAGCCTGTTTGACATGGATTCACACATGTGGATGAATGGTGAGACAGGTCGTTCCCATTATGCACTTGTTTCATGCAAGGAAAGCAAAAATAAAAGTTTAATTTGGACATTTGCGTTATTTCTGTAACGAGGGTCGGCGTTGCGACCTGGATTGTCAACCTTGATTTATTCACGTCAAATTAAATCAGTTACAGTGGTCTGAACATACAGTCAACTCTCTACAACAACAACAACAACACACTTCGTGTCTCTGTTCTCTGCACACACACACACTCTGTCCTCCGAGTCTATCTGGTCCCTTGAGTTCGGCGCTCTTCCACACATCTCTTACACATCGGCCCGTAGCACCCCACTGGACACACGCTGGCTCCTCGGCTGCCACGGTCCACGTATTCGGTGCCTGCTCACGCAGCCAACCTGTCCTTACTTGGCGTCGGCCCATAGCACCCCACTGGACACACACTGGCTCCTCGGCCGCCACGGTCCTCGTACCCGGTGCCTGCTCACGCAGCCGACCTGTCCTTACTCAGCGTCGGCCCGTAGCACCCCAATGGACACATGCTGGCTCCTCGGCCACCATGGTCCACGTACTCTCGGCTCTCACGGCACACTTCTCTTACGCCCGATTCACAGCTCTGTTCTTTCCACACTCCCTTTCCAACAACTCTACTCTCAACACTCTCTCTTTCCAACCACTCTTCAACACTTTCTCTTACCAACCACTCTACAACACTCTCCCTTTCCCTTTCCACCAACCAACCAACCAACCAACCAACCAAAAAGCTAACTGAGGGCGGAGTCCTGCGCAAGCGCAAGCATCGTCCCTATCTAGGTGAAACCATTCCTGTGCACAAGGCGCATTGCTGGAAATGGTAAACGGTCTTAATATAAAAAAACGGAAATTTTGCTGACGCTAACGGGGTTTCGTCATGGCGGGAGCCTCGACCATTCAAACTGGGATCTGTTGCTGCTGATGGGAGGTTATCCCGTCAGGCAAGTTGTCCAAAGGAATATGGTTGGTTGGATCTCCTGGGTTTGAACCCAGAGAGGGAGGGGCCGTTTTGGCTGAAGGCCTCTGTGGCATTCCAAAAGCAACAATGTCTATAAATAGACACAACAATGCCGAATACGACAATGCCAAATACAACAGTGTCTATAAACGATTACAACAATGCCAAACCCAATAATTTTAATAAACAGACAACAATGCCAGATGCAACAATGTCAATAAACAGACAACTAAACTCTTTATTGACATTGTTATGCTGCTCTCAAGGCAACACATCACATTTCATTACAGCTGCTGTGTGAAGGGCTCAAACCCAGTTGTTGGAGACCGAGTGTTGGTGGAAGCCTCATATAACCCCAATATGCCATTCAAGTGGAATGCTACCAGAATCCAGGTGCTTCCCATGACAGGTGCCCCCACTGCTCGGACCCAGAGTACTCTTAGCAAAGGCTTCACTGCTACAGCTCAGAACAGTTACAACGCTGTTCCTCCTCCAGGTTTGTCTGCTGACTGTGTATCTGTTCCCATGTGACAGCGTTTGAACAGTTGAATAGATTTTTTAATATATTATATTGGGGAGTTTTACAAAAAGGTGTCAACACATTCAAATTTTGTTTAAAATCATATAACATTGGACACGTTACATGTAAATATACTTACCCAAATACTCTCACCTCTAGTGTACGAGGGGCAGTCAGAAAGTTCCCGGAATAGTGGTATAGCATTGAAATAGTAGGACATATGGCAACACTTACCTAATCACCTTCAAAGTATGACCCTTACACACACACACACTTGCTCCATCGAACCTGCCATTGTTAGAAGCACCGGCGGAAGGCTTCGTTTGGAATCTTCCGGAGTTCGGCCGTCACATTCGATTTGATGTCCTCCATGGTTGCGAAATGCGTCCCCTTGAGGCCAATTCTCAGAGTAGGGAACAGCCAGAAGTCACTCGGAGTGATATCCAGAGAGTATGGTGGTTGGGTGATGAGGGGAATGCTTTTCTTGGCGGCGAATTGCTGCACAACCAGCGAGGTGTCGAATGCGACGGCCGAACTCCGGAAGATTCCAAACGAAGCCTTCCGCCAGTGCTTCCAACAATGGCAGGATTGATGGAGCAAATGTGTGTGTGCCGCAATGGTCCTACCTTGAAGGTGATTAGGTAAGCGTTGCCATTATGTCCTACCATTACAGTGCTATACCACAATTCCAGGAACTTTTTGACTGCCCTACGTATTTTTCTAAATATTTTTTGGAAGTCTGAAATATTTTGATAAGAAGTTGTAGAGAAGGGTGAAGAATACACATTGCCCATAAGTCTTACAATTTTGGGGTAATTAAATAAAGGGATTTATATCTTGTAACTCAAGAACTGTTAATTGGATTTTGGTTAGATTTTATTTCAGAGATCAATATCTGATTCTTTTAAGCTGTCTGTAGGAAAGCGGCACAAGCTAGGATTCATGAATTAAAAATCTGTTCTTTTCAAACAGTTTGAAAGAATAAACTGATTCTAGATATTCTTGCCATTTGATTCCTCCCTAAAGAAATTTTATTTACTACTCTTGTCTGCAGTTTTTCTCTCACAAGACTTTGATATAGCTTCTAAACTGCTGAGATTTAGTTCAAGGAACTTTCTCTCACAAGACTTTGATATAGCACCTAAACTGCTGAGATTTAGTTCAAGGAAGCTTCAGTTCTAATAATACTTTTCATTGCTTGAAGTTTTCTGTTGCTTTTGTATAATAGGTGTTTCAAGAATTAAATTGTCTTGAATAAATTGCATTAATGTCTTATGTTTGCACATGTCTGGACTCTGGCTCAGACCTTTTTTTAATCTCCATTCATTGAAGAATATGTTGCCATTTAAAATTTCCTCTCAAGGGAATTTATGTTTAGGATATCCAAAAATGAATATGCATTTCAATAAATTACACGTATGGATATTAAATCTAAATTGGTGTTGCTGAAACAACTAATTTCTTTTAGATGAAAACTCTGGAAGCAGTTTCGGACGAAGTAGTCGTAAACCGAGCGTGAGCAGTGGACGCAGGGACCGCTCAAAAGAACGTACTCGTGATGCAGAAGAAGACGAGACGGAAAGGAAGAAAAGAAGAGAAGAGAGGGCAAGGTATGTGTATGTATATGCAACTCACTGAAAATTTTGTGTTCTCATTACGATTTTTCTTTCATGACCTTAGTACGGCTTCCATGGGGTGCATACAAATGGAATAACTACATGAATTTTATGGCAACCATAACCTAACTTGCTTAATTTGCACGTACTTGCATTTGTTTTCTTCCAGAGATTCTAAATAGCTTGATTGTGTTTTTCTGTGAAAATTCATCTAGTTAAAGTCTTTTGACAATTTTGCCCTCTGCCTTCATGGTAAGTGTGATGGAATCAAAGTATTTCTTCTTCTTCTATGGCTCTCTGGTCCGTATTCAGTCCATGGCTTCCTCAATTCTCCTCTTCCATTCGGTCCTCCGTTAAGTCTGTCTGTCCGAGGCTTTGATTGAGGTTTCAAAACGTCTTCCTTTTTACGGTGCAAGGTTGTTAGCCAACCCCCAACCTGGAGGACCAGGGTACCTGTCTTAGTCTGACCTCTCCCCCTCGACCAATCTGGCTAGGGAGGCCCTACCAGTAGCTCTTGGGGTCACTGAGGTACTCGAGCCCCACCACCACGACAAGGTGCAGGTACCATTAAGTGGGGATCAAAGTATTTGGTGGGAGACTAATACAGTGGGATTCTTTTACGCTGATGATAGGATGACTAGTAAAGAATTCCCACTGGTGAATATGAGGTCATTGCCATGGTGGAATCTTGGCATTCCCTATATTTACAAAATTTACTGTCGGAGGTTAGGTATGGGTAGGCACGTAGAAATGTCTGCAGTTCATCCAGTTGGTCTGAAACTGTTGGAATGTATTCTTAAAACCTTGCATACTGTGTAGTGCAGTGGTCCCCAACGCGGTGCCCGCAGGCGCCATGGCACCCGCCAAGGCTCTTTTTTGGTGCCCGCGTTGTTACGGAAAGAGGTTATACTGAATAATAAAGGCCGTTCAACCATGAACATTATAAAATCAAAGCATAGATCTCGACTTACTGAAGCCCATCTTGACGATTGTTTGCAAGCAGCAACATCATCCTACACTCCCAAATTTGAAAAACTGGCTGATGAAATGCAGCGCCAAACATCACACTAACTTCCCACTTGAGTAATAATAATTGTACTTA